ATGTATATGCTCAGCTAGTTTGTCTTAACTCCAGTATCGCCACTTTACAATGTGAAAGCAGAACTGGGAAGTAGGAAATGGAAATGGTGCCTCTCAACATGCTTTCCTGAAATCTTCTGTGCAGAAATATTCCTGAGACATTAAGCCAGATTTTCCCCCCACCCTTTTGTTGCCTGTACCTAATGCACCCCAGCTGGATTACCGTTGATGTCATGATGAGTATAGATCCATGAACAAACGTGGTATTTTCGCAGCGTAAGATTGAATTCATTGCACTTCTTCACAGAGATCCAATGGTGGATCCTAGGCTGAAGATGAGCAGGATTTTTAAAGAGACAGACTTCATTTATTGGATAGGCTAACTTGGCTGTTCTTTGGAGCATTTTTACTCCAAACATATAGTGTTTCCCAAGTTTACCAAACTTTGGTAAATCTCAGTCAGCTTGTTTCATCTTTTCAGGGACAACCAGATGAGAAATGGAAGATATGATCTCTTCCAACCACAGTAAAGAAACTTGAAATTGTATCTCTTGACCTTTTTAATACACTGAACTAGATGAGAGGGGAAATTAAATGAGACATTTGCATAAAGTTGCTTCTTGCATATTCTTTCACTTTACCAGCCTACATATTTTTAATTTGTTACTTCATGTGAAGCCCAACTTTAGTTAGGCCCTATAATTTAGCCCCATCCTTTGTTTACATATTCTTTCCAGATATTTAATATTAAGCCAGTGTTGTTCAATAAGCATGATGTCTACTTCACTCGTTGGGCTCAGTTAAGAAAACAAACAAGTTAGGCTTAAAGATAGCCACCATTTGGGTGTCTTGACTTCCCAACGTAGCCCTTACACCTGAGATTTCCTAGTAGGTCATGTTTGATGAATTAGATTAAAGTGAGAGATTCATGGTTGGCTGAAAGATCTGAATTACAGTTACAGTAATTTGAGTCTTCCTGCATGGTTCCATTAACTAACAGCACCTAGCTAACCTTGGCTGATCTTGAGAAGCTAAGTGGGGTCAGATTTGGTTAGTACTTGGATAGAAAACCAGAGGACATTTTAGGGCTGTGGGCTAGATTAGAAAGTCAAGAATACATTTTGATAGAAGACAATCAGAAATCACTTTCGTACTATTGCCAAGAAGTTCATGAAGTCATCAAGAGTTGGTCCAACTCAAAGGAATCCTCACCTTTACCTTCCTAGAAGCAAAAGTGGCCCACGTACAAGATTTGTGTCTCTGTTCAGTAAATTAGAGAAGAATTTCCAATGTTGTTGCTTTGACAGCCTTTGACAGTCCGAGACTTCCAGAAGTTCCGGATTACAGCTCTCTTAACTCCCATCCAGCATGAGCTCAGAGGGTGTGGGAGTAGTAATCCAAACTTTCAAAAGGCACCAAACAGACAAATGCTGGCAGACGGCCTTTTCTGTAAATAAAATATAATAATCACGAAGCAAAAGAAAGAAAGAAAGGTTTATTACTCGGATACTGCTTCAAATATTGCTCCTCCGTGGCAGAAAAGCTGCTGATAAGGATGCCCCATTGCATTGGAATGCGGGCTTAATAAATATCTATTGCTTCTCTGCATGAGCTGCCATTCAGAGCTGTTGAAAACACATGATCTCAGCATTGTAGAGGCACCACATTGTCTATAATAAATATATCATGCACTACATCAAATCTGAATGACAGCTGTGCTGTAAGAAAATTGAAGAGAGGCTGGAAACCGTGTAGGCTGAAGGGAAGAGGCCTGTTTCTCTTCTCTTTATAAAGTGTGCACTATTGATCCTGTTCAGTGGCAGATGTGGTGGGGTGAGGGGGGTGGGAGGAGGAGGGGGGAAAAGATACTATGATTTTTTTATAGGAAAGTTAATGAAAGCGTCATGTCAAATAATATTAAGAAGAAAGACAGGAGCATCAGAGGCTCGTGCTGCATGTCGAACGCAAAGCTCAGATTACCCCTTGGAATAATTTATAGGCACTATGGATAACCAGCAGCCTTGTAGCCAATAAAGACAGGGCCTGGGGCTAAAATTATTGGCTCTGATTGAGATTCAGGTCCCTGTTCTTTTGTTATGAATTCTTCAAGGTTTCATCTGTAGGATGAGTTGTTCTTATTAAGAATGTCATGTTGAGTTGAGCCCTCAACTCCTGGTGAGTACACAGATGTGTCTACGCGGTTTTACTGGCAGCATTTGTTTATTTAAGTAAGTCTGCATCCTGCCCATTTCTCAATCCAAAGCAACTCTAGGAAACTTAAAGGTACGTGCTAGTCGTTTCCGGTTCTAAGGGGCGGTGCTCATCTCTGTTTCTAAGCCGTTTCTAAGCCGAAGAGCCACCGCTGTCCGAAGACGTCTCCATGGTCATGTGGCCGGCATGACTAAACGCCGAAGGTCCACAGAACGCTGTTCCCTTCCTATCAAAGTGGTCCCTATTTTTCTACTTGCATTTTTACAAGCTTTCAGACTGTTAGGTTGGCAGAAGCTGGGACAAATAATGAGAACTCACTCTGCTACGCCATGCTAGGGATTCAGACCGCCAAACTGCTGACCTTTCTGATCGACAAGCTCAGAAAAAAAAAAAAACCAACAAGAGTCACCTACAAACTACAAAGGTAATATCTTCTCCATTACTCCAACGGCCCCCTCCAGCCTAGAATGTCTCCATCCAGGCCCCACACCAATCAATAAAGTCAGGTTTTAAGGCCCTTCTGGGAGGCCAAAATTTGGAGGCAGATCTCACTTCTGGGGCCAAGCTGTTCCAAAAGGAAGAGGGGTCACAGCAGAAAAAGCTCTTCTCCCAGACACCCTCAGCTGAAATGAAGAGAATAGAATATTTTATTGGCCAAGTCTGATTGGACACACAAGGAATTTGTCTTGGTGTAAATACTCTCAGTATACATAAAAGAAAAGATACATTCGTCAAGAGTCCAGAATTCCTTGCCTGACGTGGTCCTCAGCATGCCCCTTCTACTGGACAATCCCACTGAGGCGAGACAGTTCCTCACATAATTAATAATTAGAATTTGCCATTGTGTTTTTCTGGGATGGTTTTCCCTGCTGCTTGTGTAGACCAATTGCCAATGGGCCATGGATTGGTAGTAGTCCACAGACCAGGATTTGGGAATACTAGACTGCGTTACTAGTATTCCTGTTACTCTGCCAAACAAGTCCCAATTAAGACCAACCCTACTTAGCAACATGTCCTCCTCTGCCTCCCCTTCTCTATTTCTATTACTATTATTCACACCCTCATTCACTCTGTAAAGTTCATGGTGCCTCAATCTAAGCTACCAAGTTAGATTCAGTGTTGTTATGATGATAAAATGTGGAGGGAGATCCCAGCTGGATCGTCTTCTTGGAGGAGAGGCACAACTTCCATGCTATGCCAATGATTTAATCATCATTTGTAATAGTTACAACGGCTCTACAAAGTAGGCCAGTAGTTCACCTACTCATGAACAGAAGCTTCTCTAATAGTTAAATGTGATATTTTTTGCCACATATTCTCAGCCCATATTCTTTACACATGTAAATATCTCTGTGAATACTGGGTTTTACTTATGACAGTGCACTCTTTAATTTAAACAGGTAATCTGTCTTAGTGGGTTAGTAGCATTCTTGGAAAAGAAATAAAAATCCAAACAGCTACCACAAATACATACATACATACATACATACATACATACATACATACATACATA